ATTGTTATAGAGAACGATGAGCAAGCAATGGCAGATTTCCTAGAGTTTGATCAAACTCATGAGCAGGTGAGAGGAAATCTCAAACGACATGTCGCTGAATGGGAGGCGTTAGAAGTCACTCAACCGGTGTTAGAGATTGTTAAATCGGGTTACAAACTACCTTTAATAACTCTCCCTGAGCCTACAGTGCTAAGGAATAATAAGCCGGCTTTAGACAATCAGGTTTTTGTCACAGAAGCTATAACAGATTTACTAACTTGTGGTAGCATCGATAGGGTGGACTACCAACCAAAAGTTGTAAATGCCTTGTCCGTTTCCATTCGCGATGATGGAAAGAAGCGATTAGTTCTAGATTTAAGGCATGTTAACCCACACCTCTATAAATATAAGTTTCGGTGCGAAGATGTAGAAACAGCTAAACAGCTTTTTCAAAGGGGGTTCTTTCTCTATACTTTCGATATCAAGAGCGCTTACCATCACRTTGAAATTTTTGAACCTCATCGATCCTATTTAGGTTTTCGATGGTTCTATAAGGGTAAGTTACAGTATTTTATTTTCAATGTATTACCATTCGGTTTATCGACGGCTCCGTATTTGTTTACTAAAATGCTCAAACCAGTCGTGAGTTCATGGAGGGGTTCGGGTAAGGCCGTCTGTATGTTTTTAGATGATGGAATAGGAGGCCATCGCTCTTTGGAGTCTGCAACATCTGATGCTGCATCCGTTCGCGAGCATCTATCTCGACTAGGTTTTATCCTCAGTGACACTAAGTGCGACTGGGAACCTAAGTTAGTGCAAACCTGGTTGGGACACGTTTTTAACATGTCAGAAAATCGCCTGTATGTCACAGAAAAAAGGGTAAATAAGCTCAAAGATTCAGTAGCGCGCATCCTCACAGGTCCCAACACAATACGAGCCAAGCAGCTAGCGGGGGTTGTGGGTCAGATTATTTCCATGTCAAAAGCCATTGGGCCAAAGGTTTACCTGCACACTCGACATGTATTATGCTTTAGAGACCAGGTGGTCCTGGAATTCCGTCGTCCACCTAACTTCGCGCGTTTTGGAGGAATTGTCCTTTTGGACCAATAACGTAAGCCAACTTAATGGTACAGAATTSTTTGAAGAACCTCGGAAATTCGATTCCGTGATTTATTCCGACGCTTCTGGGCRTGGTTATGGGGGGTTCGCTATATCAGCAGGAAATAAATTAGTTTGCCACGGGCTTTGGGATGG